CCCTTGTAGAACAGATATGTTATTTCGAATACTGTCATGAATAACTAGTATATATTTAGAATTATATATATATATATATTATTTATTTACTAAAGAAATATTTATTATATTATCTCCTAAGATTAATTTTAGTAGAATTATCTAAAAAGAGTGAATCCATAGTTAGTAAGTTTAATTCCGAAAATTGTTTTAAAGTAACTTGAATGTAAATTGTTAAAATAAAAATGTTTAACGGGGACTTGAATTAAATCATGAATAACAAAATTTCAATTGTAAAAAAAAGAAATTAAAATAAAAGCAAGTAATCTATATAAATATATATAATTAAATCATGTTTTAATAATTTAATATGAGTTATTGATATAATGCCCATATTAGGGTTAATGAGTTATTGATATAATGTTTGATATAATGTTAAATCAAATTCTAATTTGCTATTCTGTTATAAACATGCACAAAGTATCCTCCTTTATTTACAAACAATCCCAGCGCTCTAATAAGTTACTAGACATGATATAGATGTTGCTTGGACTTGTATTGTTTGTTCCCAAGCTTTTGTCCTTGAGCCTTAAAGTTCTAGTCATTGTTGCATTCATTGACGAAACAGGTTCTATTAGATGCCTCATTTATAATGAAAATATTAGGTATTAAATAATATTACCCCTTTTGTTACCTATGTAAAACACTGCGGTACGGGTTTGACTGCTGTGCCCACTACAAAAAAAGGTAATACGAGTTTCACCTCCTTCTTTATACTCCCTGGTATGCATCAAGTTTCAACGAAATACGCCAACCAGCCAGTCTTTATATAGGTCTGAGTAAAGTCACTTTACTTCTAACTACGTATTAAAAAAAGACAGCCTATATAAATTTATTGATTTTTTACTGTCGTAATAAATTTATGAAGATTGATTAAAGAAATTCTCAATGAAAAAAAAATCTGAAAGCTTTCAGATTTTATATTATGCCCAAACTTTTTTTTTTTTCATTTACACATACTTGCACGTTTTCAGAGCATTTGGGCAAACCCTCCTTTAGGCTAAAAATGTTAAAAAAACCGCATATCTTTAGATTTTTCCTATAGACAGTCTCGCACGCTGGAGATAAAAGTATTTTATTCCGCACAGTGTGTTGCCACAGCTCGTTTTGAAATGGTTGAGTTTGTTAATCAAAAATTCATTAAAGTTCTACAAAATATGGAATAGATAATAAAACAAATTTGCCAATCTTGTTAATATCATCAACCCAGTTATAAGGATATACGATTACGACTTTAATGACCCAAATAATGGTAAACGGCCTATGGCCATACTTAGTACCCATATTGTATAACTTATTTAATCTAATATGTACCTCTTAATATTGTGTTATAGATTTAAGGTTTAATTATTACTAGTACACCAAGAAACTCACACTACTTTGCCTATTATTTATACGCATGTTTTTTCTGCATCAGGCTATAGCCAGCTCATTCCTCCTTTCTCGGCCTTCCCAGATAGCACTTCAGGTCTATTGAAACTTGACGCACACCTTAAGTCTTTTTATAAATTTATCTTTTAATTTATCTCTTATCTTATTTCTATTCTTATAATTTTAAAAAACATGATTTAATTATATATATTTATATATATTACTTGCTTTTACTTTAATTTCTTTTTACAATTGAAATTTGTTATTCATGATTTAATTCAAGTCCCCGTTAAACATTTTTAACTTTTTACAATTTACATTCAAGTTACTTTAAAAAAACAATTTTCAGAATTAAACTTACTAACTATGGATTCACTTTTTAGATAATTCTACTAAAATTAATCTTAGGAGATAATATAAAAAATATTTTAGTAAATAAATTTTATATATACATATATATCTCTAAATATATACTAGTTATTCCTGACAGTATTCGAAATAACATATCTGTTCTACAAGGGGTAGGGTCCTTGACCCAGGCACCCTGGTGCTACACCGTTTCCCCAGTGCGTCAATAAAACAAATTCGAAATTCAAGATTCGGCCTTCCAGGTGCCCATATTAGGGTGCAGGACTACGTTATTCAGAATATTATGACTCTAAATACACTCATGTCCATAAATTAAGGATAATTCGGAGTCACGCGGAAATCGAACTCTAAAATAAATATATCACCTGTAAAATCACTACACACATCTTCAAGAATCATATGCAAATTTCAGGAAGTAACAAGATGACACCGATGGTACGTCACAATAACGAGAGTGTAAGAGAGTGATATATAAGTAATACAGGCAAAGAAGTAAAATTGTTCGCAGACGCTTTATAAGCATTTCAGTGCAATAGGCCGAGAAGCGCACCATTTGAGAGGACGCTCGAGGGCGGGAGAGACGATGTATAAAGATACCGAGGACGGTAGAGGGAGCCGTGACCTCTGGTAAGAAATATGAAATGAGAAGCGTATACATGAGTTATACGACAAATGGCTTTGTGGCAAAAATTGATGGTATAAGATTTGTATGAATATCAAATTATCCTGAATAGACTCTCCCCCCCCTCCTCTTAGCTCCTTCTTCCCTGGATTCAGTTTTAGTCGTAAGACTCTTCCCCCCTCGCTCATCCCCAAGGCATTAGCTATCACTGCGGCTGTCCGTATTACCTAATATTACCTTTCCCAAGCCCTGGAAAATTATGTTTCCCGGCTGATTGTCTTCCAACCTTTCCGATTCCATAAACGCAATGCGTTCCGGAATTCACCTCAACTAACTCCTTTCTCTCTTTCAATCTTAAAATACAAGTTGAAAGCAGAGAGAATTGCTCGTCCCATATGCGGACTCCTTATTCATTTCTTTCTATATAAACCCTTAATGGTTTGTTCATCTCTCCTTTAGCCATTGCTTTTTCTTATCCAACTCAGTTTCCTTATCGATGTTGTGGAGGTAATTGCATTAAGTTGCAAAGGTACTCCGGAAGTCAAACTCCTTGGGCCTTGGGCCGAATAGTTATGACACAAAGGACATATTTGGATGAATTTTTACGTGGTAGAATAATCTAAATGAAACGGGGGAATGCTTCGCTCCAATAATTGAGCACTCTTGAACATCTGTCTCTCATCGGAGAAAAAAAGAATCTAAAAAATCTCTGATCAGGTTTGCAACTCTCTTTAAACTGTAAGTGAGATTGAGCTAGTTGAAAGCGCTGACAGCCAAAGGGAAAAAAAAAGAGTTATCAACAATTTAAAATCTAGTTAGAAAGCTAACTTTAAGCTAAGACAGGAAAGTAAAAATAAAAAAAAGGGGGGAGGAGACATGGTTCAGACATTGAATGCAAGGCAATATATTTGCTTCCATCTTGAGAGACAACATCAGAAAGACAGATAACTTCAGACAAAAATAGATATCAATATTTTTTCAGAGCAGTGTTGAGTAGTTATGATACAAAGAGATGTTTAATTGATTGATTAATCAATCAATTAAACGTCTCTCGTTTTAATTGATTGTCAAAAGTTGCGAATTATTGGTAGAATCGAGGGAAATCAAACACAAATGGAGGTCTCCCAAGGTTTGAATATCCCTCAAAGTGACATATTAGGAGTCTGGAGCCGCTTTTTAAGCAAGCATTCGATCAGTTGATAGACTGCCTGATCAAGGATGAATAGAGGCAACAACTGCATCAGAAGACAGTTTTCTGCCGTTCTCGGCTCGAAGAAAGCGCGAACCGACTATTAGACTTCCAGGCTGCCACAGGAACTCGAATTAGCTGTTCTACTACTGCACGAAGGCATAATGAGGTTAGACTGTATGCGAGAAAATCGATTGTTTGTGTCCCACTCACTCGAGTTTTCAGAGGACTACGACGAAGATCGTATTTTATTCTCGAGCGTCAAGATTTAGAAACATCTTACTTGGCTTCTGATAAGGAATCTAGGGAAAAAAGAAAGAAGAACAGTGTAGTAGGAGGTGTGAGAGGGGATGAGAAGAGAATCTTGTCCACGACAACGCCGGCGAAGGGGGGGGTGAGGTCAGTGACGTTACAAGATGGAGCAGCGGGTGCACGTTTAAACTAGGACCGCCGTCATGTTCAATGGAGACAAGACGACTGGGCTCGATTATTGTTTACTGATGAGTCCAGATAGAGTCTGAAACAGTGATTTTAGACGCGTTTTGATCTGGAGAAACGAAGGAGCACGCAACTTACCTTCCGTTATCCGGAAAATATCCCATTTTTGCGACCGCGGTTTAATGCTTTGGAAAGGAATCGCTAGAAATAGCCACACCAAGCTGCATAGCTTTCAAGAAGGTTCTGTAAACGCTCGGAGGTATGTGGACGAGGTACTGAACCTCCAAGTTAGACTGTTTAGATGTGCAGTTGGCCCAAATGCTCAGCTAATGGATGATGCTTGGCGTCATCGAGTATATGTGGTGTGAGAGAATACTTGCAAAGAGAAGACATAATTTGAATGAATTGGACACTTTATTTATTCCCCTTGAAGATGCCTTACGACGCCGAATTCCAGGACGTCAAATTCCCGCCGGGACTCTCCAAAAATTGAAAAGCGTACTTTTAGGAGAGTGGCGTACATTTAAATAAAACTTGTTCAACACTTAAATCTATGAAATCAAGATGCGAGTTATGCATATCTGTCCTAGGAGACCATATGCATATTAAAGGAAACATTTTTCCACAAGAGCTGACTTAGTTTTTCCATCCTTTTCCAGTTTCCATAAATTTGGTTTTCATTTCGATATTTTGCTAATAATCAACTGTCAAACACTGTCATTTGTGTTAACTAACGCTTTTGTACAAATTTCTATTAATAATTTTTCATTAAGTATTCGTTACGTTTTATTTCTATCATTATTGTATAATTTTGATGTGTGAATGACCTATGAATTTAACATTTTATTAAACATTTATAAAAATATACGACTACTTACTTATAAAGAGAATTATTTAAAAATTCGATATATTTAAAGATTCAAACAGCATAGTTTAGCTATGTTTCTCCTGGCAATGTTTTATTTTCATTATCTTCATATGTAGTCTGAGCAAAGAATCATTGGTGTAGTGAGAAGGAGTTGATTTACAACTAAACTCGTGAAAAGCATGAGCCTGGTGTTCGGTAATGAAAGTTAATTTGTAAATTTTAGTGTTGGGATAAAACCTAAATTCATCGTCATGTAAGTATTTTAAATTATGTATTTTATCTTTCTCTAAAACTTATTTTGAATTGCGTTTTTTAATAAATGCATTAGTTTCGAGTATTAGTGTGTGATAATTTCTAATATACTGCGGAACAAAATATGTCGTGTACGTCACTTCTATTCGAAACTTTCGTAAAATTTTTATAGTGTAATTTATAACATTACATTAAGTTTATGATATTGTTTTTAGCATGGGGAAAATAATGAAAATCGGAAAGGTGGTTTTGGTACTAAATGGAAAATACGCTGGCAGAAAAGCAGTCGTTGTTAAAGTAAGTCTGCCTCTCTTTTTTAATTAAGGTAATAATATTTTGCTGTAGATCGACATATTTTATCCCTTTTGTTGACATTGTTTCCTTGTTGCATATGCTGCATCTTTAGTCGAAATCTCAAGAGGTGTTATAATTATTTAATTAGTAAGGTTCATACTTTTTATTTTTTAAATGATAGAATTCGATTTGAAAACGTAAGTAAGTGCTTATGGAGTGATCAAAGTTGTGCAAATGAGATTTTTTTAATACGTAGTAATTGTTTTTTAGGTTATTAAAAATTACTGCCTCCTTAGTAAAATGGCGTTTCAAATTTAAGCTGCGTTTACTAATTTCGTGTCCAAACTTTCTTTCACAGCTTACTGCTTGCTGTTTAACTCTTATTTAATATTTAGTAAAAGTAGTATTATTTGACTAATGATATTTATATTCTGTTTGTTATACATACTTAAAAAAGCCATTTGTGTGCATGAGGAAACATAATTGTCAGACAAAAATGTTAAGCTTAATTTTTACCATATATGTATACTTTATTGGAGTACAGAATCACTCACTGTTTGGCACGTTTTCAAGAATTCCACATACACATAGACCTATTTTCACTCAAAAAGAATCACAGAATTGCACAAAAATGGCAATGCGCACTCCCTTGACTTTTACACGTCAACCTATTTTCACTTAAAAAGTCAAAGAAAATTGACAAAAATCCAATTCTAATTACTCTTGTAAAAAGGGCCAAACAAATAAGTGGGCGATTCTGCACTTTACCCCTTTATTGTTTTTATATATATATTCTATATAGAGGGAGAGATCATCAGGCATGGTTTAAGAAATTATTGGGCGCATTAGACTTCAAGGCAGTGTGTTGTTATTCAAACATCCTACTTTCATGTTCAGTAACCCCCCTTTTTAATGGAATCATGCTTCCCTAATACAAACATACAAATTCTAACTATCAGTAATGATAATACATAAAAATTAAGTTCAAAGAAAAATGCATTACGAAAGTACAACAACGAAAGAAATGTATGCATGGGAGCCATATTTTGTGGCATTACATTTAAAATTCATTTAGAACTTATTCTCTGTGATTTGTGCTCCAGGTTAGTCAGAGTAGCTATGAATCCTGGAGAAAAACAGTGTTGCCAAGTAATATTGTAAAGAAATTGCTTGGTTAATCTAGTTAAAAAGACATAGCCGTATTTTACCTTAAAACCAAGGCAAACCAGTTGTAGCCTAGGCTATCTTAATTTTGCTACTCAAAGCCAACTCAAGATAGTTTTATGATACTTTCTTTGGCCAGCATGTTATGTTTTAGATAAATAGCCAACTTGTATTCATAACCATGGCTATCAGCCCCTTCCTTTCAGTTAATTTTTATTTAAAATTAGAAACTTTATGCTTCTTGAACTCTTAAACAAAAATATAAGTGTAAAGCTGATGCAAAGTTGTCTCGGAATTTTAAAAAAAAAAAAAAAAAATAGTTCTGATCAAGGGAAACATTTTCCAGTTACTGTAAGTGTGTCTTGTGGTGAACAAATATTTTCGTCCGCAGTCACCAAGTATTGAATCATCTGAAAATGCATGTGATGCACTTCACAAACTGGGTTACAGACCTTATTCTAAACAAAGATACTTTGTTCGTAAAGAATTGGATTCCATTCATAACTCTAATGCAAAATTTGGAGGAGGTTCTCAGAAAATGGAGGAAAACAAGCATATACTAACTGCTAAAAACACTGAGGTGAACTGTACACATGATGCGAATAAACTACAGCATGGTAAACAAACTGTTTCAGATCTTCCTGTGGATGAAAAGTCTGAAAGGATGAAATCTTCAGACTGTTATGCAAAACAGAAATATATTTGAGAACTGCAGTGAAAAAGTATTTTACCCAGGTATAACTTGTTGAAAAAGCAGACTAAATTCATTCTAAACTTTAAAATTTAAAATTATTATGTGTTTAATTTCCGTATATAAGTTGTAAAATAGTTTAAATATTTGTATCATGGTTACCTTTTATTGTATTGAATTTGCCTTCTGACTAAAGATTATACAGGCCTTGGGAGGGAGCAGTGTTACAAAATGCCCAGCTGTGGTAAGATAGCGTCCCCACAAAGCAGGTTGCTAGAAAATGGAAAGAAAAGGCAAGGTTGCCAGATTTGGGGCAAAACCCCTCATTTGGTGACAAGATTGGTGATAAGCCATATGCAGATGGGGAACATTCTGCAACTAATTCTTACCAGTTTATACCAGAATGTTCTCGAAGGCAGGCCAAAAGCCACATAAACCCTGCCTCTACGCGAAATAGCAGTCTAGTGTCAATTGTATCATCGAATTTTATCTTGAGTGTATTGAGCTCCGAGAGTGATCGCCCGAGTCGAGAGCTGTATTTAGTGTTTTGCCGTGAAGCTGTGTTCACTGTTATACTCTGAAGGCTGTGTTGCTGATTGTTTCAGCGTGTTTGTCGTAGTTTTTCGACGACTGTAAACATGTATTTGGAAGTGCCCTCTGTATTACTGACAAATAAATTGTTTTTGATTTTTAAGTACATGATCCCAAAGTAAACAGACAGATCACAATTAAAGAAAAAAAGAAACAAATTTAACCCCTCTTGGTGGAATTTCTTCTGAAATTCTGACCTTAAAAAAATGTTTTTTCTTGCTAAAAATTAATATATGTTCTGTCCTAAATTTGAAAATTCTAAATATTTTTGTCACTAAGCAGTTTTTGATGAACCTACGAGTAGTCAAATATGTAATAAATAAAATTTATTTATGCATTTAAGGAAAATTCAAACATGCTTTCGTGTTGTGCTTTTTCCCCTTTCGCAAAGTTTAAACATAATTCAGTAATATTTAGAACTGAGTTGGTACTTATGCGTTAATGCACTTTGCACAATTTATGATTTTTATAGATGAAAAAGTAAAAATTACGTATCGAATGCAAGTTGGTAATTTTGTCGACCTTTTTTTTTAAAGATTACCCCAACCTTTGATATTTATAATAAGTCAAACATCATCAATGTATTAAAAAACACACTTTAGTAATATAAAATACAGATTTTAATTAAGTAAAGAATGTATGCTACATTAAACATTTTCACTTTTTTTTTTGCACTGTTCTTTGGTATGCAGCTATCTGTGCATAAATTACATCTGCAAATTCAGCATCGCACACAACCTTGCCACTGCATGTTGGCTGTTTACCTAATGCATTTAATCACTCAACACAGAACAGTAAATGCATTCCCATGTATTACTTTAACAGACATTTTCCCCTTTTGTTCTAAATATGCTGTTTTAGAAATAACAGCATTCAAAAACAGATAGTCTGTGACCAAGCAAGAAATCCCACAATCACGTTGATATGGCTTCTGATAAAATTAGTTTGTCCGAATAAAATTTATTGCCTAATATGTAAGAAAGTAAGATTACCAGATTAAAATTGTTAATAACAAAATCACAAATTTGTCATACATCTAATGCTTCACTTCAGCCAATGAATAGAATGATAATTTAAGTCATATCTCAATTCATTTGAAAAGTTTACATACGTAACTATTAATATACAGTCAACATATTTATCCCAAATATTAAACCTCCTAAGTTTGTTCGATTTATATTAATAAACCGGTTTTTATTATGATTTTGTTCTGCACCATAACTTCTTTTTGTTAGCTTTCACCAGGGTGAAGCAAGTTTAAGACAGTTACAGATGGGCATTCTTGAACATTTTTGGTAAGAGCTTTTGTCAATGACACTTGCATTCATACTTTTTCTTGTACAATGCATAGTTTTCTGACATTAGCAATTTTGCTAGATGAAGTTAGATTATGCAGTCAGAATTTGAGGTAATGCTTAGTTAAGTAGTTTTATTGTAGTCTCCAAATATGAATCTGAATTTGTGAATTCAATTTTCTGTTTTCTTTTACCCGTAAGTGGTAGAGTTTTAATGTGTATTGTTATACTACTTGAGTATTTTGTTGAAGTTCAAACTTTAATATAAAAAATTCAAAACCTTCTTAGGACTTTTATTTTCAGAAATAGTGATAACTTACTAGTTCTTAATTAAGTTTAAGAAACTTTGAGTTAGATTTATACAAGATAGTCTACAAGCTTTTTATTTTATCTATTTATTATTATTTTTTCCCAAGTGAAAATTTCATGACAATTGCTTTAATAAGATTCCTGCAAATTCCACATGTGCATATTTTAAAGCAGAGTTTCTTAAACTGGGAGTTGTCAAAAATTTTAGCAGTTTTGATATTTCTTTAATTTATTATAATACTTTTACAATTACCAAATATTTTTACATAATACAATACATCTTAAAATAGATATGGCAATACAGACAAAGAAAAAAAAAATGAATCCGTTTCGACGCCTTCATTTTATAATAGAAACGTTCATTTTTCTTGCTTTGCACGTGACGCTGTCATTTCATCTGTTACTTATTTAAAATGTTCACATTGTTCTATGTCTTAAAATTAGAAATTAAATGTAGTGACCTAAAACTGCAAGTGTACAAAAGAAAAAATTGACAGTTTCACTCACGCATGTGTCGGATTTGCGCAGTACTTACGCGGTTCTGGGAGTCGCGAAAAAATCTTGGTGGTAAAAAGGGGTTGCGACATAAAGTCTAAGAAATCCTGTTTTAAAGCAAAAATTATCACGAATTATATATGGATGGAGATGTCACAAACAGAATTTGGAGTACATATTAAAAAAATGCTGGAATGCTTGACTGATGGATTTTTATGTGAATAGTTGTCTGAAGAATGTGTATGTAAGATTCCAGAGTTTGTATTTAATACAGTTACAAGCCGGTTTTTCTAAGAAGGTGTCTTTCCTCTAAGGTATACTTGTCATACTCAAATGAACGAAACCTTAAAGTATTGTTTTAGAATTGTAAACCAGCTAGTCAGAAGATAAATTTTATACTTGAAATAAGCAGAAATGAAATCTGTATAAAGACATGGCTTTTAAAATTGTATGAAGTAGTTAGTAAAAATAAAGTATAATTTTCATACTTAATTTTTTTTTCTAACTACATAATGCATAATTTAAAAAAGGGCTGCTTTATTTTTATAATAAAAATATTTTAAATGTCCAATTTTTATTGTATTACAAATTTGCAGTCTTTAAATAGCATGTGAATGTATTGTCTAATCTTTTAAGTACAAAGGTGGAGATACTTTGTATAAGATGCAGGTATATCGTTTGCAACATCTAAGCTGGTTCGGTTTATCTGTGAGAACTATAGGTTTAAATATATATTTTTTCTTAAAAGCAGGCTGTCAGTTTTTTATAAATAGATCAAATTTGTGCATTTTTTGTCTGAAGTTTACTGTTATTTGAAGACAATTTTTATATTTCTTTTTAGAACAATGATGAAGGTACTGCTGATAAGCCGTATGGTCATGCTTTGATTGCTGGCATTGATCGTTATCCTAGAAAAGTGACCAGAAGAATGGGAAAAAAGAAAATTGCTAAACGTAGCAAAATTAAGCCTTTTGTTAAGGTTCTAAACTATAATCATCTCATGCCTACTAGGTGAGTATACTTTCATAATTCTTATGACTAGTACCATCCGGAATCTAAATCCTTATTGTATTAGACACAGAAGAAAAAATATCGCATGAAAAATTTATTTTTAGTTTTTGTTGATATTTGGATTTTTAACATTTTTATTTATATTTTTAACAACAGTCGTTTATTTTTCTTAGAAACTGATAACAAATTATGTAATCTTTGTCAGCATTTGTCAACTCGTAGAGCTGTCCAAGTAAATGTTTTAAGATTTTAAAACATTAATTTGAGGATATGAAGAATTCTGATGTTATTACTTCTGTTACCTCTGAGAGGCAAAGCTTTTGATCTGCCCATTAAAACCTTCATTAAAAAGTATTTATTTGTTAAATTTGTATAATTACTTATTTTAATCTGTTATCCTTAAACATCCATTCTTTGAGATATTTTCCTCATTAAATAAAGCACTGTATTTCAAATTACAAGTTATATACAAAATGACAAAAAGAAACTCATGACCAGATAAAAGCAGTCATGACACGCAGAGGATTAATTAAAATATGTAATGATTCTGTTATTTGAAGTTTTTTGTATTAAATGTCAACTTGCCATTGAGCTCAGTAGGGTAGCAGATAAAAAAATTGATATTCGTAGGCAAGAGAATTTAAGCACTTTTAGACATTGTTACTCACAGGGCTGTGGAGTCTGAATCTTAGTCGGGCAGATTTTGGGGTAAAAGGAGTCGGAGCTGGAGTCTCTAAAATAGGTCGATTTCGACTCGTTGGACAGTTTCAATTTGAAATGAATTGAAAAAATTAATGACAAGCTGAGTTATTATTTTTATTTAGGAACTATATACATTAATAAATAGTTATTTTCTATTTTATTGACATCTTAGTAAATATAAGGGAAGAAGATGGATGTGATATTTTGCCATAAGAGTTCAGTTAGATTACAAATTCTGATTCATTTAGTTACAAATCTCACTGGTAAATTTAAGTAAGGAGCAATAGCAGAGGCAACTCCCAAAATTGATGCCAATATTAGGAAGCGAGCTGGAAAAGGAGCAATTATTGATCAAACAACACGATAAGGAAGTACATATTTGATGATAAAGAAGTTGTTAGAATTAAGAACTTTTTTAGAAAATGCAGATAATGTTTCACTAACAGAAAGACTATGGAATGATCTTGCAGAATTGGAAACTCTTCTTTCTACACCGTATATAGTCACAAAGAAGCTGCAATCTGAAGAATTGACAGGAGGTGAGAATGGAAGAATGGGATGTTTGTTCTTTCTGAAGTGGAGGGTTTATTGCAGAAGGAATCATTTCTTCAATGAAGAAAAGAGAAACTAGTTTGCTAGACAATAAGATCTTGCTGGGTTCAATATATGTAGATCCAGAACGCTGAATTTTGTCGGATGACAAACAAATTAAGAAGGCAAAGAAAGCCATTTATGAAATTTCATTGAGATTGAAATTATTCTCGGAACAATAGGAGAATTCGAATCATGACAGTCAAACTGCAGTCATTGTAATTGAGTCTCTATCATCCTCTTCCAGCAATGAATTAGATTTTGAGAAATATTTTTGGATAATATTGAAAAGGCTAAGGCAAAGCGAATGAAAATGAAGAACCAAGTGCCTTTAGATATAAAAATAAAAAAATGCAAATAAGATTTCTACACGGCCTTTGAAGAAATAGAGAAATATGATTGCGCTTGCAAGACACCTCTTTTAGAGTTTATAAAAATGTATCCTGAAAAGTTAAAAGAAGTAGCCCTTACAGTAACAGCTCTTCCTCTTACTCCAATTAGTGTGCAAACACTCTTCTCAGCTCTGAAGTTAATCAAATCGGATCTATGGGCCTCCAACAAAGATCTTGCCGAAGCTATATTGTTTCTTAGAAATAAGTAATGCTGTTTTTTCCATTTCATAATAAATGCTAATTAATATATAATTTGCTGTGCCATCAATTTTTTTCCTCTAGTGTCTATTACTTCTTTTATATATGTTTACATATAGATGTATATGAGGGAGTCTGAGTCTGTCTTTTTTTCTAGACTCCACAGCCCTGGTTATTCAGTATAGATTACTATTATATTCACACAAACACTTGCGTGCATCTACATGTATGTGTTTATAAAAATATGGTGAGCATTTAAAAAAAAAAACTGTTACAATAGAACCCCATAATGAAAAATTCCAAGACTAAAAATTTGGTTTATTGTATCCAGTCTGACAAGAAAAAGAGATGAAGGATCTCACACAGTGTAAAGAATTATTAATGAAGTGTACAGAAATAATATTGTTAAATCTCGCATAATGGTCGCAGACAGTTAGACGACAATGGGTCTCGCTCTTCCCAATGGTTTTAAATTTCTAATACTTTCACATTTCATTACTACTTTGCTCGACACATCACACTACATTCATTCCCGTATAAAGCCGTTTTGCTCCTCCCACTAATGAAATTTCCTTTCCTTGTCAGGAAGTAGAGTGATTCGTCCTACTCCTCGCTACACTGGAACTACTTTTTATCTAAACTGCTATTTATATCCTATACAATTACAAGTATATTTATTAATACGGGATAGTACTCCGGCGCGGGAATTCTTACCTCGTGGCCTGCAGCCAAAAGTAACTTTGGTTTATGTAATTACAGCAAAGCCAGAGAGCTATCTGCCTAATGGGAGAGATACCTTCGTGGAGGACTTTCTAAGGAAAACTAGCTCGTATACATGTTACACATGGGGAAACACCCATGCAGCTTGTCCGTTCGGGGGATTCGATATTCGCACCGAACTGCCAGTGTTGGCTTTACCGCTCAGCCACTGCTGAGCCTAACAAAAATAGAGTGACCATTTTACTTAATACATAACCAGTCTCTTCCAATAAAATTGCCTTTTTAGGCTAGAACTTTGTAAGTGCATTCAGGAAAGTGGACACAAAAAATTTCCCTATTACCATGTAGCTACAGCAGAAATGAGAAAGAGAAGGAATGAAAGAGAAAAAAAAAGTGAAATGAAAATGTATACATTTTTAACAGATATTGAGAAAATTAAATTTTATGAGAAAAACATGACACAGTATAACATATTATATTGAAAATTACACATCGCGACTTTCAAAACAGCTTACATAGTATTATCTAGTTACATGACTGATGTAGTTAAATCTAGCTTTGATAGATGGCACCACATTACGGTGACTTTTCAGGATGTCCTGCTTTGCTCCCTCCTGCTTGGTGCGCCTCCTGCGAATTCCTCCGATTTCTCTTTGGAGATTTTCCGAGATCCGGAATTTCATATCAGCAACGTTTTCGATATATGGAGAGTGAAAAATGTTTTTGCAGAAATGTATTCAGTTATGAATGAAATAAAACCTTAAACAATATTTTACCTTCTAAATTAAACATAATGCACCGGTTTAGTGCTATAAACATTAACCTAAGTTTTTTAAGAGAGAGGCGTGGTCAATAAAATGGTACAAAATTTTTATCTCAAGTATGGTGGCATGAACAGCCCATTATAGAGGTCAATAATTTATACCTTTGCTTGTCTTGATGCACTTTTTTTAATTGTTTCTAATAAAAAATAATACATATTTCGAAACTAACCCTTCACCACATGTTTCTATAAAAGGTATAATTCAAGAATAACAATAATTTGTATTGCATTATTTAGATTTTTCATGACAGGGAACGGAAATTTTATTTGTGGGAGGAGCAAAACGATTTTGTAAAGAAAAGAATGTACATGATGTATTGAGTAAAATAGTAATGAAACGTAAAGGTATTAGAAATTTGAAAGCATATGGAAGAGCGAGATTCAAAAATTAATATCATTAAGTATACAAGAAAAATTATTAATGATGTGAAAGTGTTCAAAAGAACCCAGTTGGTTTAATGAAGAAGCTTTACAGATAATTTTTGAAGATCCCAAATGTAATTAAGTGGCCGCCGTACTTAGCTAAAAAAATTCATTTTTCCTTTCGAAGCTTAATTCATATTCCCTGGCGTGAAATTTCAGTGCTTTTTCACTTTGGCCAATATATACCAAACAGAACTATACATATCAAACAATGCTAAATCAACACAATAATTAAAAGTACATATGAGATCTATAAGAATTGAAAAATGAAATTTAGTGATAGGTGAAGAAATAACTTAAAATATTGAACTTGGGGAGAAATCGAGAAATTTTGTAATTGATAATAAGTTTAAATAATTATTGGGTACGTGCCAGTTAAACGTCACTTTCGGCTTAGTATCCTGTCAGCCAAATGTCCTAAATTTCTTTTTCGTTTGTACATTTCAATCTAAAATGCATATTTGCAATTATGAATTAACACCAGCTTTGAGCCAGCATGTTTGACAGATTGATCAGAGAATTAAAGTACAATCAAAAAGCCGATTCATGTTCTTAGTTTTGATGCATCAATGGCTATTTCACTCAGTGTGGAAATAACCATTGATGCATCAAAGGATCCATAGGATCTGTTGTGTGTTAATTGTGTGCCCTGGTTTTCCAGGAATTGAGCCCTATGCCTGCCTGCCTTTTTAAGCTCTTGGTTTAGAAAACAAAAGTAGGAGTGAAGATTAGAAGAAAAAAAAAATATATTCCTTATTCTAATACTCTAAACAAGATCTCCACACCTTTAGACATGATAAAAACAGCCATAAATTACAGCAAACTAGAAAAAGGGAAATAAAGCTTATCTACAAATGCCTGTATCATGTTTGTTAAATATGTTGATGTATATTTTGGATATGTTATTGTATATAATTGCATATTAATGTGAATTTGGTTGATGTCGTGTGCATGATTTTAACTAATCACGCTTATGTTTAAAATTACATTTTGCAGGTATATGGTCGATATACAGTTTGACAAAAGTATAGTTAACAAAGAAGTTCTGAAAGATCCTGCTAAAAGGCGAAAAGCCAGGCGAGATGTAAAAGCAAAATTTGAAGAGAGGTAAGGTTTTTGAATGAGTATTTTGTTTAGCATAGGGAACTTGTGCCCTCAGGTCCGCAAATTTCTCGCCAAACAACTCCACGCCGCCATATTGCTACCTAAATTTTTTGTCTACATTTCAAATTTTAAGCCTAAAATGTCTCAGAAAACACTGCTTTCGCACATGCAAAAACCACATTTTGAACACGATTTAAACTAAAAATCCGAAACAAAAACAAAAAATTTAGATAGCAAAAACGTAAAGTTTCTAACCAAAAATATTTGACAAGAATCCATGTACACAGCAATATGTTTTAACTTCAAAAAACATCTACGGATTGCACATTCTAGGCAGCAAAGGAATGTACGAACTACGCACGTCTCACTTCAATAAATTAACATAACGACAGGAAATTTCAAAGAATACCGGGTACACAGCATTCTGTTTAAAAGAAAATCTACGAAATGTACAATCTAGGCATTGCGCAGAAATCAACGAAATAAACTAAATTACAAACAATTCAAAAAACAACAATAAAAGAAATTCATAATGAAAACACAATGAACGTAACATTCTACAAAATAAAATGCACTTACCATAATACATTCCTGAATAAAATTTCGCCAGTCACACAACGTCTCTGAACAAAAGTGCCACGATTTTCTACATCACATATCTTTCTGATATTCAAAATTTCAAAAGTAACAATAAAAACGTCCTTCAAAGTTAACATCCTACATAAAAACCACAATCCAAATCTTAAACTCTGCTGACAGCCACATATTTTACCAGCAACCATTCGACTGCAAATCCACACAAGAATCATCAGAAACGCCCTTCTTCGTCCGAGTTCTCTCATAGCAGCTCCGCATTGCGGACTCTGTTTTAAATGTCCCACAGAAATTCCAAAAATAGACTGCAATCCTCATAAACACACCCATGAACAAAAGACACGTTAACAACTCAAACATCGTCCCATTATAGGTCCTTTCAAAACACGCACGACATGAACCAACAAGCAAATAAACCACTCCAGCAAAAGATTTTTCAATGTGAACACACATTTGGTGATATTAGGGTGCATATAACAGAAGAGCCTAGCATATTTATAATTTATGTGAAAATAATTGGTCATTGTATTTATTCTAGAATATAAAGATAGTTCTTTATAGATTCCCAGTTTTACTACTACTCTAAAGTGCTTAATTTCAAAATTTGGGCAGGATTTGGAGATAATTTTGTGCTAAAGGTATAAATTACATTCTATAAACATGCTTTAGCAGAAAAAATTGTCATTCAAATTCATTAAAAAAGGCAAGAAGTAATAATACTTGAAAATAGTTTATCATTAAATTATATGTGTTTTCTAATTTTCAATTATTCTCTTTTTAATTTCCCCCATTTCATACTTGTAGTGAATTTTGCCCTTTCCCTTATTCAGTTCATTAGAGAATTTGGGGACTTACTAGTATTTAAAGGAAGAGAATTACTAAACAACAGAGTTAAAAAAAAATTTATGCTTAAATGAATAAAACAGCAATGTGCTGGTACATTCTACAAAGTGAATGCAGAAGTGAATAATATTTGTTCTAGGTTGCTTATTTAAATGTGAATTTTTAATGTGTGTGAAATAAAAAAATAATTCTAGTCATAAGGTTCTTAAATTATTCTGATCTGTGTAATTCACTTTTATTTTAATGCTGTGGAGTGTTTTTATGAATGTTTTTAAGTTTTATGTTGGTAAAAATATTGAAATATGTTCTAAAGACTATAGTTATTAAGACCAGAAGAAAAGCAGTAATGTTTACAAATTCACAGGAATAGTTTTGAAGGTGAACTTCTTCAGCTATAGAAGTACAAATGATGAAAGAGAAGCCTGTACTCGGCCAGGGTTGGATTGCCATGCTACCTGAAAAGGGAATTCAAAATTTAAACAAAAATTCAGGGGATTTAAATATTTTAGTCAAAATCTGGAACAGACGGGGAATTTCATACGGCGATCACCTCAAAAAAGCTAGTTTTGCGCGGCCCATGGAAGCGATCACTTTCTTGGAGAACTGTGTATTGCGTGATCGTAATTCGTCCGGCTGGCATAGGGCCAATTTTCGCAGCTCCAATCAGATTGTCTTTTAGAAAAACAAAGCAAGTTTCCAGTAACCTTGAGAATCGCATGTACAGTGCTTGTTGAACTAAACAAAATACGTATTCTCACATAAAATGAAATAAGTTTAATCCTAGTATAAGGTACTGTGGAGGTTAGAATCAAAGAGTATATATTGTTAAGAAGGAAAACTTTGCAACAGAAGTGGCTCCATTCCAACAGAGAGAAACAACTGCGCATGCGCGAAATATCAGCCGCCAAAGCTTGACACTGGTGTCGAAGTTTGAAGGACGTTATCAAGAGTTCATAAAATCAATATTGTTTAAAATTTCTTTAAACTTTAAAGGAAAAAATATTTTTTTGCATTATTTTTAAAAAAAAACTACGAAAATCCGTGTTTAAATTATTGCGAAAAGTCAAAGAAAAAACTTTTTTTTTTTTTCCCCTTAACACGTGTTCCTCAATTTCCTGTACGCATTGCGGAGAAGGAAATTCTCGCCACTAGGTTCCGTCGCCAAATCCCTTGCAAATTTTACCTCCGCTTTCTAGCAACGTAATAGCGTTACATCTATGGAATCTTTCCTTCTTTACATAGACATTCTTTGGTTAGAATAGTTGTCATGTATTCTATTCTAACGATGGGATTTGGCGACATTGTGATGAGCAGTAAACAGGTCATTTTGGTGTTGCCAACAATTTTCGTGCCCAACGCCTTAGCATATATTACGATTTTACTATAAAATCTTTTAAACCTTTTTTTCTAATAAATGCAGTATTTGTCATATTGCAGTAAAATAAAAAAAAAGTGATCAGTCATCCAGGCAAACCATTTAATATAACTATATTCGCTAAAATGTTGTTAATTATTCTAATTCTATTTTTATGTTGTTTGTATTATTTAATGTTGCTTTAATTTAATTTAGAGGGAAGAACTTTCTAAATTTATTATTAGTAAACAATACTTTCAAATTTCAAAAAATGTTCTCTAGCATAGTCCTCAAATTAATTCTAGCAGTATGATGACATATCATCGTGAAATTTTAGCACATATTTTTTGCTTATGTATGCCGCTAAATAAATAAAAGGTAAAAGAATATTTTAAGGGTCCCCCTTGGTGATTTTTGGCAGTACATGGATACCAAGTTTGTGCAATTCTTCGACTTGTTATTTTGGACTGCGTAGTGCCGATTTTTGGTGCAAAAATTGCCGCTAAGCAAAGCAAATATGTCCTTACCTTAGAAATTCGTTCGTATTCTTTCTGTGGCACGTAAAATTACTTAACAGCATTATAAAATTATCTGAAGTACAATCCGTATATCGGCGTTGCCACAGAAATTCACTATGTAGTTGCAGACTATGGATACTAAGTAAACCTTCTTTAAAAAATTGGCAATAAATACACTTTTCCCCTTTCGTTCCAAATCATACAAAAACTTCAAATTAATCCTACTATATTCAGCCATTGTATCGTCTAAACAATGAAACAAGCATTGTACTTCCTAAGCAAGACACACCACAAAAAAACCTTGCAAAACATTCCATGATTCAAAATTTCCCAGAATAATGCAAACGATTACGTCATAATAGGTTTCCATAACATTCAACTACTCAGGTTACCATAAGTGATACAATAACTTGGCGATAAATGAAACAACATCGTGATAGTATAATACAAGGGGGTACCTTAAAGTCAACTCTAACCCAATAAAAAATACCATTAAATAGATTTCTTTCTTTCGTTTAGCTGCAAAATATCTGCAAAAAAAGACATTTTTAAATCCAGATTGGGCAGGTTCTAATCTCAATCTTTAGTGGAGAAAGCAACTCCTATTATAGTTATAATAGTAATGCTTTGGAAGTTATACATATATGGCAAATTTTTGTGTTTTCAAGTAATACCATTATTAATTTACTTCTTAGCACAGCCAATGTGGATAGACGGAAATTTTCTTAAAGCACACCTGAAAAAGTCAGGAAATTTCATTTTCCTGTTTGAGTGGCAACCTGTCAGGCAATAATATTGGAATATTGTTTTATTAGCAAAATTTAATATTTGCTAATACGAAAACCCAAACACCAACCAGAAATTGTAATGTCATCAAAACCATATTAACATAGATAAAACCATATTGTCCGAAAAAGTATTTTTCAAATTTAAAGCAATACTGTCATCTAACAACTCCTGCAGTTGAACTTTGTTACCTCTTTAAAGAAATGTTTTTAAAATGTGTGCTATTTTTCTAAGAGTGTTCATCAAATCAGTCGTGCATCACTAGTAACCATGCATGTACCGTTAGAATTTCTCTGTAGAATTTTGATTTGTCCAAATTATTACCATTCATAAAAATTTAATGAAATAACACATTGCTTTTTAGTAGAGATTGAAGTACCTAATATTACAGAAAATTTTCTATTAAAAATATTTGTGTATAAATTATGTCATTGATATATATTTACTCTGATCTTTATTTTCTTTATTAGGTACAAGACAGGCAAGAGCCGATGGTTTTTCCAGAAGTTACGGTTCTAAATTTGTAAACTACTGCAAAATAAAAAAAATATTATTAACATCAAATTGCATTTATTTCGCATATAAATTGCAACCGAGCAAGTTTAATTTCATTATAGCAAACATTAGTAGTTACATTTTGTTTATTACTATCATAGTTTTTATAATAGATATAGTTCACAGGGTTCGTAGCAGTCCTTACAAGTGCTTATAAGTCCTTATAATTTAAAATAAAATATAAAGGCCCTTATAGGTGCTTACTTTTTCTTTAAAACCCTTATTTTTCGGGGGTTTTTTTTTTTTTTTTTTTTTGTGTTGTTGTTGTTGCCTTTTAGTGCCCCCCCTTTTTTTATGAATGTGTATCCCCCCCCCGTTCCAAAGCGGAAAAAAAACTAAATAAACAACTTTTCTTCCTCATATGGAACCTCAGATGGTGAATCTAGCAGTATGATGACATATCATTTTTTTTTCTATGGCTACACTCATGCTGTAGTAAGACAAAAAGAAGTTTATAATGATATTCATATATATATACTTTTGAGTAGAAGAAAAATTGAATAAGTGAAGAAGACATGTCAAATGTTGTCATCATTTTATTCTCAAGTTTTGTCTATTCGGAAAGTTTTCAGGATTTGTTTTAATTTATATTAAGGTAAGTTATTGAATAATTATTTAAACATATTAGAATTATTTGAAACAAATGTCAATCTGAAAATTTAATAATTATCTGTCAGTACTCCCGGAAATAGCTTTTCCCCCTTTACGCATGAGAGTACAGACAGGTGTCCGTCGTTGGTCAAAGAATTGTGAAAACCGTAGAAAATTCCGGTACATTCGGTATTCTTTTCCTCCCACCCAAATACTACACACGTTTGAATTTCTATCAAGATTTTAATAATTTGCATTCTCGTTCCACGTGGTCAGTTCATATTCGTGTTTATTATGATCATTATGCTTATATTATGAGTATATGTATATATATATGAATATTTTTAATAATATATAGCAGTAGCTGCTGTAGTGTAGATAAACTTCAAAAATGGGTTTATTTTTACACAGATTAGCTTTCTAAGGAATAATATTCGGAATGGCTTAAATAAAAGGAAAGTAATCAAATAGTCAGAATAATTTTTTTTTTTCCAATACATTATACAGTACGAAGGTTGGGAGGTTCTCCCCTTTCTCCGCAAAATCTCCAATATTAAAGCAGTGGACTTTTTTTTTTTTTTTTTTTTTTTTTTTTGTCACTGTCCAATTTGGATTGAATAGGACTAAACGTTTTGTGGTCTACCCAACCCAAGCGAAGAATAATTCTATTCCGGAAATTTAACACAGTCTGTTCAAAATTAGAATCAAAAACACCCCAGATTAGTAAGTCTCTTTCTTTTCCTTTATTTAGTTCTTTATTCTCCGAATAGTGACAGCTGTTGATTCCGATTGCGCAATAACGTTTGCTGTATTTTTCAGAGAGAATTAATTTTGATGTTCAGTCTGAGATTTATGAACACTTAAAAGAGTTTTACTGTGCTTTCTAAGCAGAATGTTTCTCAGTTCCGTTGGTCTATTTTTATATGATGCACATGATGAAATGTCAAAATCATTTATTTAGCCGAGAAATTGTAAAGAACAGCTACAATCTCCCCCCCCCCTCCTCTTTTTCCAGTTACTCTTGACTGTACGGAATATTCGGCAATTTCCGAGTATGCGGGTTAGTTAAACTTTTACTGTTGAAGGATGGCTGCATGAAACAATTTTTCATCTCCTGATTTCAGAAATGTTCCTCTTTTTTACTTCAATTACTTTACTTAAAATATATGTTAAGGGAAAACTGTTATGCAATGAAAATTTAGAAAATGTTCAAAATTTTGATTTAAGTTAAATTATTTAAATATTAATATAAGTAAATAAATTGTATTTATTATTAGGTGCCAAGCGAATACAATTAATATGGCTTCTTATTATTTATTTTCTATATTTTGAACTGAAATTTCATCATTAAATATTGTAATATAGTTTAGTTCTGCATAGTTTTTTTCCCTCATTGTAAACTAATTCTGTAAATTGAACTGTCATTTAAAATTTTAAAAAAAGTTAATTGTTTTCCATGGTTGAGGTAATGCCCATTCTCTTAATAAATATTGCATTGCTCAAATTTTAAATTGCAAGCTTAATTTTTCTTTTAAGGTTATGCAGTTGTGTATAATGTAATTAGACAGGTGCTTATTTTTTTCCTTAAAATGTGCTTGAAAAGTGCTTATAGGTGCTTATTTTTTTAACTAAAATGTGGCTATGAACCCTGGTTCAGAATGCAAATATTATTCCTATATTCAATGTTGGTGTTAGGCATTCCAACAGGAATTAAGTAATGTAAAAGTTTGAATATCCAACATTCAAGCGACTGGGAAACTTGGGAATTTCATTTGTTTACATTTTTCTAAAAAATTAAATGAATGGGAGATTTGAAGCCCATATGGGACTAATGAACTCTGTTAAAAACTTCTAAAATGTTAATAGAATTGTACAGATGGCTCTGTTTCAGAAGACTGCTAACCGGTACCATTCATCATACTGTTGCAAGATTTCAAGAGTTGTTGAGCTTTTATTGTGTTAATATAAAAGATATTTGACCGTGATAATTATAATTTTACTAAAAATAAAGAAGTTGGATAACTGATCTTGATTTTTTCCAAGATGAAATAAATACTGACCAAAAAGAACAGTTATCTGTCTTTTCCATTTCCTTCTCAAAATCTTAATTTTAAAAGTTGGTGGTAGGAATGCAGAAGTAAATAATACATGTTATGTTGTCTGAAGAATTTTATTAATAAATGAAGCAAGTACGATGTTTTATTATCGAATTATATACAATTTGCTGTGTTCATCTTTTAAGAAATTGCATAATGCTATATTTCTATGATTTTTATGTCGTTCATTAAACTGAACCTTTGTTATAAAGACAAATTTTAAGTGAAAAATAATAATTAGGACAATATTCAGTCATATGTTGAAGATTTTTTCTATTGGCTAAAGAGTGCATGGGGTTTTCAGTATGCTAGTAAATGGGACCTTCTCTTTTCATAAAAGAAGCAAATCACTCATGGAAACAGATTTAAAGAGGAATGCCTTCTGTCAATTCATATGAAGTTGTTACTTTATAGCAGTTGATTTAACTAAGCCTTCCTTATTAGCTAATTTTATGTTAAGGTCATTGCATATCTGGATAGATCACAAAATCTATTTTTTAATTTTTATTGTTTACTAAGGAAAATATTTTTGACCATTACAGGAAATCTTGTTACTCTAGCTGCAGTGATTTTTCGTATTACAATTACTAGGACTATTTCTTAATCTATTATAAACATTTGTAAACTTATCATGAAGATCCAACTAGTGGTTAGTCATTTGATATTTGTATTTCATTTTGTTTTACATATGCATGTGTCACATTGCTAAATTTATCCACAGAATAGTGTGTACATTCAATCAAAGAGGATGGTCAGTTCTGTACCTCTTATTCCACTGGGCTGATTAATAAAATTTTGCATTTTTCATGTCTTGAAAGTGTGACTTAGGGTATATATTTCTGCTAAATTTTTTCTAACATGCATATTTTGATACAGTATCTGACTTTTGATGAAATGATGTGCCAGTTTTTTTTCCATATTTCAGTTTTACTACTCTGATACTTCTAAAAACCAAATTTTTTATAATTTAGTGTGGAAATTTAATCAAATCAAAAATTAAAACTTGCACACCTTTTTATGTTGCGCCAGGAATAATTCGCATGGTGAACTTCATATTACAGCAACCTATTTCACTTTCCCTTCCATCTTGAATAATAGAGAACACACAAAATGGAATGTTTGCATTCTATGTTTTTCTTTTTTGCATATACTTTTCAATCCCAGTTGTTATTTTTGGATATTTTTTCTTAAAAATTTCATTAAAATTATTTGAATGGTGGGTTGAGTTATTTCAAATGTTTATTCAGATACATTTTTATATGATATATTCAAATAGTATTTCTTTCAAAAGAGTACTTTGTCACCCAGTATTCATCATGATGCATTAGAATAGAAAATATCTTAAAGCATTGTTAAATACATCTTTCAAGGGCTATTCAGAGAAGATATATAAATGAGAAAGTTGTATATTATTTTAATTAAGTATATATTATGCATATAGTTTTATTACTCTGTCATTGCTTTATATAATGTTTTCCAAATAAGTTAAAATTTTTCATTTTTTAAATTGCAAAAATCTAATAGTGTAACATAAGATTAAAATTTATACAAATCATTAAAAATAAATATTTTATTTTCTTAATGGCTTGTTGCCTCAAGAATTTCAATATTTTTCTTGAAGCGTTCTGCGTATATATCTGCAGACATTGCTCCTTTTTCATTTGCCACTTTCGAACCGCTTGTTTTCTGCAACATTGTTATGTGCAAAGTATTGCTTTCCATGACATCTGTAGTTGGTCAAAATGAAATGGGGAAGTGATTTTGACCATGATATTGATGGTCTTCAGAGAGTAGACATTTTGAAGTCATGAGATAACTAGTTTTATCAACTTTGAAAGCATTTTAGCTGATGTCCGTGCATGTTTGTGGATTAATTCATGAAACTTCAATAAATCTGGCTGAGACATCTTTGAATTCTCAATTTATGATATGACATTTAATGGCATAATTTAAATTTACATAGCCTTTCTGTTAAAAAAAATTGCTTTTTATTTCTTCTGTCTTTTCTGCCAGTATAGACTTATTCTCTGGAGTATTTCCTGAAATTCCAGCAAAATATGATTTGAACCCCCATATAATTCTCTTTGAATACTTCTGCAAACTGATGTTCTTGTAATTTATTTCAGATACAATTGTTTTTATGTTGACGAAAGAAAGTATAGTCTTTCAAGAGATATATTTCCATAAATTTTGTACGCGTCAAATTCTTTTAACACTTTAAGGTCACTTGGTTGTATCTCACAGAAGAATGCCTTTCATTTTCTACATATTTTAAAGACAAATTAAAAGTAACACTCAGAAGACAATTAAAAACCTGCTTAC